CCACATAAATAAATAAAATGGTGAGATATTTCAAATTGATGGTTGTCTAATTTTCAAAAGCTGATGGACTGCAGATCATCAGTGTCAGTCTCTGCTTTCCCTTTGGCTTCGGAACGAAGAGAAAAAAATCTCACTATTTTCCATGTGTCTCCGGCACTCAAATGTACCAGGAGAAGAATCCTAGCATATACAATCAGACTGGTTAATTGCATGTGCAAATGGTTGCTGGGGTGTGCAGTCACCCACTGAGTATGTAAGTGCTAGCTTTCACAAGGTATACCCCATTTTGTAAACAGGACTTTGAATATTCTGAAAATGCTACTTACAAACGTCAGTAGCCAAGAACGGTCTTAAGTACCCAACATTCATTCTTACGCACAACAGTAACTCAAAAATGGCAAAACTGATTTGTTTATGCTTTTGTGCACTGGGCTCCAGTCTGAAGTGAATTTTTATGGGTGAGCTTTAAAACCTTCAACAATAGAGGGTTTATAATGGAAATGCTGATAGATGATTATTATAGTGCTGGTCATAAATACAATACCATTTCATTTTATGTAACATCTTTCATACAAACTATCACAAAATGCTTTACAGTGAGTACTATCAATCGTAAGTCAGACAGAAAGAGGAAGTGAATTTAAAGGTGGTATTTTCTTCCACTGAGGGGAAAGAAGGATAGATTGAAGGGACAATACTGTAAACAGAGTCCTTACATAGACAGAGGAAAAAACACACTCTTCCTGACCATAGAATGAGCTAAGGCTCATATCTGGAAAAGTGGTGGGCCAAATTGTGACTTCAAAATGGAGCAGTCAAAATTCTTAGCTATTGTTATACTGGGATTTATAAACTGGTGTATTCTTATTGACTCCCCAGGTTACAATTTATTCCTTAATGTTTCCTATATTAGGACTCTTTTGCTACAATTTATTTATTTTATTCCACCCATCTCAAAAAGTGCATGCATGGAAGACACGCATATGAGCGAAGAGCACGCGTGCATGCACGCTCACATTTTCGGTGCTGGGTGAACCAGTTGTTAATTCATGTACCCGTCCACCTCTGTATATTTTCCTATAGTAAAATAGCCAGATACTTTTCTGGAAATTATTAATCAGGAATAGGAAATATTCCTACTGCTAAGTATTTCCAATCCAGAAAGAAAATATAACAAAACCCTTGATCTTTCCATTCTGCTCTGCCAATCTGGTATCTGGCTTTGAGTATTTAGATTTTTGTTCATGAATGGAACTTTTATCCATTGATGATAAGATCTTCTCTTGGGGCTGTTAGCCAATACAAAATGCCAATACAAAAACTGGGAGGGGTCAAAGCAAGATATCTGCAGATAATCTCGAATTTTCATCCTTTCATCTTTTTTTCTTTCCTTTTCTTTTAGATATTCATCCTTACAATTATTCTATATTTCCAATGATACATATGAATTGTTTGCAAGTACTATATTCAATTAGTCCAAAGACCTTGGATTGCTCCCATCAGCACTCTTATGATCCAGAATCAAATCCAAGAAAATCAGGGAGAGAAGGCTCAATTGATGTGCTTGGGAAGAGATGTAGACCTTTGCCTAGATCTATGATGGTGAACCTATAGCACATGTGCCAGAGGTGGCACGCAGAGCCCTCTCTGCTGGCACTCTATCACCCCAGGGCAGATCTCCATGGAGTTTCTTTCGTGAGCTTCTGTTTCCCGGCAAACGACGAAACAGAAGCTCATGAAAGAAAAAGAACTTACCTCTTGCCACACCGCCAGTGTTGGGATGCCCTGCCACCCGCCGGCCAGATGGTCTTTGGGTCTCTGCTGCGCATGCGTGCATGTTCATGTATGCGCACATTTGCCTTTCAGTTTGGGCATGCACACGTATGCAGTTTGAGCACTCGGTGTCTAAAAGGTTCACCATCACTGGCCTAGATACTTGCCTTACTGAAAATATCTTACAGTGGTAAAACCTTGTTTTACTCAGAATAATTTATCTGGCTTTGACTTAGTTCATGATTAGCAACTATGGATACACATTTCTTTTAGTTTATGCCAGGTATCTGCATTCCATTCCAAGGCATGTGGTTGGTATTTTGTAAATTTATTTTCAATTGAATTGAATATATATTTTGTAGCTTATTTGTTTCTTTATAAACAATAACAACCAAACCTATGATAGAATAACAGTGTACATCATCGTAGAAAACATTCAATGAATATAAACCCCTAAAAGAAAATTTCTACCTACCCTAATCCAAAGCCTAGGAGGAAAGCTATGTTTTCAAAAACTTTGTAAAAATACGTAGAATAGAAGATATCTGGGGGCTGCTATTCCAGAGATCACTCATTATGACAGAGAATGCATGGCTGGGCAGAAGCTATTGGACAAAGACGGTCATTCAGACAGACCCAATGCACCTTGCATTATACCCAGAAGTTAACTATCAGCCAGTAGAGTCTCTGGAGCAGCAATGGTATGTCCATTACTTTCTGTGCCTCCTAGCTTCCAAGTCATCTTCTACAATCTCCAAATAGTCTTCAAGGGCAGCTCCAGGTATAACACATTACAGTACTCCACCCACCAGATAATAGTACATAAGTGATCATATGGAACTCTGCCCCTCCACCCCCCACCCATCCAGGACTGAGTACAACTGGTCACTAAATGAATATGTGCAAAAACTCTACTGGCCACAGGAAAACCCTCAATCTGTGCACCAGTTCTGAAGCAGGAGTGCTACTCCTGCCAGGACTATGTATGGAAAATTTTCAGGACCAGTATGTCAAAAATACCCAGCCACTTAGTGTTGCTGGGGTTGAGCTTCTAGAAGTGGGAACAAGTCTTTGGCAAGCCTTTCACTTGAATAGCCCAGGTTATAAAACTTCGTGTCGTCAGCATACTTATGATATCTGGTCTCAAACATGGATCACCTATCTTATTGGCTTTATGTAGATTTTAAAAACAAGCAGTGGGAGTGTCAAATGGTAAGGCATCTCACAGATTAGGAATTTCAGCTGTGATCTCTTCTCACAGCCAACTCCAAATGGAACTGCCCTCAGAGAAAGGAGGAGAACCACCATAGGATGCTCTAACTCCCATAGGTTGCCCAGCGGATTTCTTTTTATATATATATATATATTTATTTATTTATTTATTTTTCAAAAACACAAACAAAACAAAACATAAAAACATTATCATTCCATACAATTATAAACAGTGTATCAATTGGTGGCATTTTTGTGCTCCTCCTCTCTTCAATTTATCACTAAACATGCTAGCTTATTTCCAAAAATTTCAACATCCATTTATATCATAATTATTTCCAATTCTTATTCTCTATCCATTGGTAAAATAAATCCCATATCAAATAGTATTGTCTATCTTCCTGCTCTCTTATTTCAAATGTCAATTTACTCATTTCAGCACATTCCATCATTTTCTTAATAATTTCTTCATCATTAGGTAACTTTTCTCCTTTCCAGTTTTTAGCAAATACAATTCTACAATTGTACAGAATTCTACAATTCTGTCAAGAAATTCACAATTAAATATTGCAGTTCTTTATTATATGTCTCCGATATAATCCCTAATAAAAATATCTCTGGTTTAAAGTCAATATGTTTCTTTATCATTTTTTCCAACCACGTGTGTATCTTAGTCCAATATCTCCTTGCTTATGCGCATGTCCACCACATGTGGTAATAGGATCCCGGGGTCTGATGACCCCAGAGGATTTCTTGATCAATGGTATAAAAGCTGCTGGAAGTTGAAGGAGATCCAGATCAGAGGCATCAGTCCCATCCCAGTTCCAACAGAGGTTATTCACAACACAGTCAGTGCTGTTCTTCTCCAAGGATTGAAGGAGACTCACCAGTAAATGTAAAGCCTGTCAATCTGAATTTTCTTAATAGTTGAAAAGCAATTAAGAAGCAATTCCAAAAGTGAATAAAAAATGAGGCTTGACTGAGCTTTTTATCCATACAGGCTATGTTAATGATTGTGAGCTTGATGGAATTCCCTTAATGCCCATTCACAAGCCAACCACAAAAACTTCAGTTCCTGCAGTATATTTGATGTCCCCTTTTTCCGGAGATATCAAAAGTGGACCAGAAGATAACACCTTCTGGTTACTGCTTGCTGCTGCAACACCTTTCCTGCTCTACAAGGATATTCAACTCAGCATGCCCAAACCAGAAATGCCAAACATGTCAGGCTTCTCAATTTACTTCTGTGAAACCCATTCCCATATGGCACCAAAAAGGTTTCTTAGTCATCTTCTCATGAAATCAAGAATAAAAGAAAAGAGCTTTCAAATTTACCACTAAATCAAAGGCTCAAATCCTGACCAGGCACCACGATATAATCCTGATAGAAGCACTGCAAACCCCTCTTCAAAATTTTCATCCTTGTTATAATTCTGGTCACTTTATCTTCTAATTGTTAATCTCTTTTCAAGAACATTTTTCAAGAACTGGAGGAATTCTGCATAACCATACTGATAAATTATTTGCCATTAGGCAATCACCTTCAAATTAATAATTCCTTTCTTCTAGAGAAATAAATAAGTAGATATAGGTAGATACTGATATAACGAAGTAAGCAATGCAGTGATTATCTGATGGCCAACATCTAGGCATAGGGATCTATTAAAAATGGATTTTGTAATATTACAAGGTAAAATACTTTGACTCTTGGTATTATGAATCCTGCATTCCTGCTTCTGCTTTATGATTTGTGTACATAATTGACGGCTTCTTAATAACTCATTAAAAGCATTGAAAATCATATGACAAACACAGAACAAATACTATAGAGGAAAAAAATGCAAATTACAAAAATACTTAAATAATAAGTTCTAAACAGGTCCAAAAAATCCAACCTAATTTATTCATTAGAATTAAATAAAAAATAAAGAGATGAACATGTCATTTTTAGACCTTTGTTGTACACAATATGAGATTGCATATAATCAGGAAATTCAGTATCATCGCCAACTAACCTTCTCACTCTGTGGCTCAGGTTTCAGTGCTGGAGCTCCAGTAAAAAAGGAATCCTTGTGGATTTTGCTCCACTAGTCATGGTCAACCATAGAGAACTGTGTGCATCTTCATTTCAAGGCCATTGAGCCAGCACTGTCCATTTTCTGCAGTCATGTGGACAGCATGATGTCACAGAGCACTGTTACTTCCCACCATAGTGGTACCTATTTATCTACTTGCATTTACATACTTTCGAACTGATAGGTTGGCAGGAGGGAGGATGGGAGTTCACGCTGTCATGTGGCGCTCAGGTCTCGAACCTGGGCTGCTGGCTTTCCAGCTGACAAGCCCAATGTCTTAACCACTGGGCCACCACTCTGCCCTTGGAGCTCCAAGGGGCAATCATGTAAAAATGATTTCTCATGAATATTATATATATAAAGTCACATAGCTAGAAGAGTAAATGTAGGATAATACAGTAAGTATAGGATAATGCCATGATAGATTATATTTATTCATATAACAAATATCCTGAGAACAATGGTTGAAATACAGAAAATATGCCACTTTATCCACTACATGCATATCTGATGTTCTGAATGTTGATAAAGCTAGATCAGTTATAAATAGGTAGATTTTCCCTATGATCTTAAGCCTAATTTTTTTTAAAAAAAAACTTTTGAATAAATGGTTCAATGTAGCTTCCTTGCAAGAAGCAGCTCTCTGGAACTCTTTTGGGAGATTCCAAGTCTTCTCCCTGTCTGGAATAAAATTAGTCCACTTGCCACCTCTACATTCTACCTACAGTTGTCAGCTCCATTTTTCACAGAGCCATCTTCAGTCTGCCATTTCTTTCATGGAAGTCCAACAAACAATATTTTATGAATGTGCAGACCAGATAGCTGCATTCTGTCAGATCATTAAATATTGTGTAAATGTAAGAAATGTTTATGATTATCAAGTTCCTCAAACCAGAAAACAAGAACCCTATAGATTTCAGGAAGGTATCTTTAATCTTTAATAGTAGTCTTCAAAACTAGAAGAGGAATTCCCAGCAGAGTTGTAGTGACTTATTTAAGGCAGATTCTCTGACCTTGAGAATGGCGAAGAAATAAGCGAGCCATTAAAACAGACTTTTAGAAAAGAGGATTCTATCCTGGAAAAAAGAAAGTGTGAGAAAGAAACTAAGACTCTTCCTATCTTGATTTTGTGAGGCATAAAATGGGTGAAAGAGAAATTCTGACTGGCTTCAAGTTTCTATAACAGTGATGGCTAAACTTTTTGCCATCATGTGCCAGGAGGGGGGAGGGGGGTCATGCACGTGCATGCTCACACTCATAATTCTATGCACCCTGCCCCACGCATGCACTGCAACCGCCCCCCACTCCCCCCCACTCCTGGCATGTGATGGCCCGGTAGGCCTGTTTTTCTTTCTCACCTGGCTCCAGGACTCTCTAGGAGTCTGGGGAGGGCGAAAATGGTCTTTTCCACCCCCCTGGAAGTCCTTCAGAGGCCAAAAATGGCCAGTTTAACAACTTCCAGTGGGACTGGAAGGCCCGTTTTTTGCTGTCACCAGCCTCCGGGGCCTCTCTAGGAGTCTGGGGAGGGCAAAAATGCCCTTCTCTACCCCCCTGGAGGTCCGCTGGAGGCCCTACTTCTGGTGGGCCCAGAAGACCCAAAAATCAGCTGGCTGGCTCATGCATGCATGCTGGAGCTGAGCTCGCATGTCCACTGATATGGCTACATGTGCCACCTGTGGCACACATGCCATAGGTTTGCCATCATGGTTCTATAACAATGAAAAACATCAATGGAATCTCCGCCACTTCTTTCTTTACCTTGCAGATTTTCAAGCTTAAGCAAGAAAGTTGTTGAGTTTGTTAGTACATGGACTATTGTTAAGTGAGAGAGGGAGACATGATTATCTCATTATTGTTACTGATGAATTGCCTGGTGTGAATTTGCACAAGAAAGTGGGGGAATGATTATAGCAATAGCACTTAGACTTATATACTGCCCCATAGCGCTTTACAGCAGGGCAATTTATGTGTCAGCATATTTCCCCCAACAATCTGGGTCCTCATTTTACCAACCTCGAAAGGATGGAATGCTGAATCAATCTTGAGCCCCATCAGGATCGAACTCAAGCTATGGGCTGAGGTTACCTGCAATACTGCATTCTAACCACTGTGCTAACAGGGCTCCTATTATGACGAGAAATTGGTGTAAAGATATATAGACCTGATTTGACGTATAGAGAAGAAAATGAGCGAGTGGTTAAAGGGGACTTTTAGGAGATTACTCAGTTCAGGGAATAATGACAGCATGAGAAAAATCCTAAAATAAGCCTACCCCAATTTAGTTTGGTGTAGTATTGGACCACGAGAAACACAGACAGGGTGTCCAGATTTTGTATACTTTATCACAATAAAGAACATCTCTGCCATGCCTGTTTTTTGACCATGCTTACCTCAAAGGGCTGACACTTTCAAACCCTTTCTTCCCATGTTTTTCACATGTAGACTGTCATGAGTCTTCTTACATAAACAAAACTTTTCCCCTCTTTCTTCTCACAGTGTCTAATAACTGTATTCTCCTGGTTTCAATGCTTAAAGCATTTGTGTATAAAGATGCGTTTGGTGATATTAAGGTGTCTTGATTTAGGATATGAAAGTATATGTATTTTTTATGCAGATGATGCCATATTGCTGGCTGAGAACCTACATAATCTGCATCAAATGCTAGATAGATTATATGTATAGTGCAATTAGGAACATAGATCTGAACATTAAAGTGTCAAAGACCAAGTAGCTGTTTTTGACAGGGAAAATGGAGTAAGTGATTGTAAGTTGCACATAAATGGTGAAAAACTAGAGTAAATGCATGCATTTGTGTATCTTAATAAAATGCTCACTCAAGATGAGGAAAATGGCTAGAAAAATATTGGTAGATACATTGTGTGAATACTAGTAGAAATGTAATGTGTATTATGTTGCAAGGAATAAATATCTGCTGCAAAAAAGGGGAAGTATCTATAAGAGCATGCCTCTATCAAATGAGAGATGGCTATGAAAATAGAAAATTAAGTGTGTGGTAAGAGAAGAATTGTTAAAAATGTTGAAAGAATGCAGACTGAAAACATCAGTGATTGACCAATATGAAATAAAATATTGATATGACTTGGTCAAATAATGAATGACAAACAAATTGCAAAATAAATATACGAAGAAAGAGTAAATGGCCTGAGCGGAGAGGGAGACCTAGAAATTTCTTTGGAGATAGAGTGATGAGGATTGCAAAAAGAGAGAAGGAAGAAATTTAAAGAACAAGCAATGATGTAGAAAGTGGCATATGGACACAGTGGAAGGAATAATGATTTGCAATGATAGAAAGGTATGGAGATCTATAATATACACTATATACCCTTGGATTCCTTTTTTTTATGCCTTTATTTATTTTAGATTACACTTTTTCACCCTTTTTCTACATTCTGCATAATGTTGCATATCTCAAGAGCCAATAGCATAAACATAGGTATGTATGTATGAATATATGTATAAAACAAAATAACCTAGGTATCCTCCAGAACAGAGGTCTCCAACCTTGGCAACTTTAAGACTTGTGGACTTCAACTCCTAGAGTTCCTCAGCCAGCTTTGCTGGGAGTTGAAGTCCACAAGTCTTAAAGTTGCCAAGGTTGGAGACCCCAGCTCCAGATGTTTTGGTCTATAATTTTTATAACCTGTAACATTTTTGTCTTAACTTCACATAATTCCAGGTATTATGAAATGTGAATTTAGAAATGTCTACTGCTGCTATGAACTGATTTTTGTCCATCATGTTCAAAATCTTTTTCAAGCAACAGTCCTTATCTCTTGCACTATTTGCTTGTTTTTCCTTTACACCATTGTTTTGCATTCTTTCTACTAAAAGCAGTCCCAAATAATGATAAGAAATGTTTTATTTTTACCACTTTTTAACTTTAGTTTCATTCTTTTATTTTAAATCCTGATTTATGCCTCGGTTAATATCAAATCCTTTGACTGTGCATCCTAATGATATTGCAGTCCTGAGTCTGGGTTGTTCTTTTAATCCTTCTACATAATTTTTGCTTGGATCCTAGTTATTATTTGGGCCTGATTTGTTTTCAAGTTTCCTCTGATAGGATTAAACTGGATCCCCATGTTAAAAGAAAAAGTATTGAGCAAATGTGAATGTGAGAAATATATGTTTAACACCCATGTATATGTAGGCATTTTTGCTAGAGAGTATCTGATGGTGGCAACTTCTCAGTGACTCTCTATATATGGACAAACAACTTTTTTGAAATGTTTACTAAATCATGAGGAAAGATGAGGCAACACTGTAAAGTTGGCTAAATTGTTGTTGTGTTTTCACCCATGATAAATATAATATTGAACATCTGATCTTTGAAGTTACATGTTCAGTTTTAAAGCAGCTCCCTGCTTTTATCAACATTGTTCTAGTGACACACCTTAGCAGTATGTTTCAGCACAAACTATGGTGTTGGAGTGACTTATATAAATGCCTTATTTCCAACAGCACACATTTCTCTTTGAAGTTAAGATAAACACTGGCATTTTCTAGCTCCTGAATCCTGGTTCTTCTCACCTCCGAAGAAGCTCAAATGAGTTTTTGTTAACTGGGAGTGTCTTCCATTTGTCCTCATTGGCATTGAACGAAGGCCGCCTCTTCTCTTTTCCCTCTTATGTGCTGTTGCAGTGACAGGGTTAAATTGCTAATAGAGGTTTCATGAGGTCTGCCAAAGCCCACTTTTCAACACTTACATCTGTTCAACAATTATTACAGCATTTTTGTCATAAAAAATTCAACACCCTGAGTGTCGTGCTAGCAAAACCTGAAAATTTATGCAGTGAATAGAATAGCTAATTTCTCTAAGGAAATGGGGGTGGGTGGGTGAGGGATGGGGGAAAGAGAAGAAAACTACAGATTGAACTAAATTCTCCAGCACGGTATCTGCACACATCTGACTCCCTCTTTAGGTTTTGTCACCATGTAGCAGATGCCTGAGAAACACTAGACCTTGCAAAACAGATTTATGCCTTCGAAGAAACAATGTTTAAAGCTCAGAAGGGTGCTGCTGTGCCCAGCTCACTATGTCATGATCAAATTGCATTTAAA